TTATGACTAAAAGAAGCAGAATAAAGGGTTAAAAACCCTGGCTTGTAGGCAGGCTATTACAGATGAGATAGTCAAGGAGGTCTTCCCTGAGGAGGTGGCATTTAAACAGAGACGTGAATTACACAAAAGGTTGAACCATGCAAAGACCTAATGAGATAGCAGCCCTGCCAGATGGCCCAAAGAACTAGACTAGATGGATTCTGGGGTTCCCTCTAGCAGGAAAACTTAGAATTTTACCCTTTCTGCCTAGTTTCTGTTTTACAACAGCTTTTATGCTTTCTCTCAAAACTTTTGCCAGCATCCATAACTTCTAGTTGTAGAGCCCAGAATTAGTCTCTAGCAAGGTTTTGTCAAAAATTCAGACTCCTGGCCCCAGCAGCTTATACTCATACCTGTAGATGCCAGCATAATACCATGTAGCCCTCCCTCATTTCAGAAAGAGCCCAAGATGCCAGACACAGGTTCTGATTTTTCAGGGTAAAAAAAATGATTTTGCGGAGCATTAAACAGCATCCCAGTGCCATGGTTAATGTGCTGTATAAACCCTAATTTCTCCATCTATAAAGATTTTATTTATTTATTTGAGAGAGAGAGAGAGCACAAGCAGGGGGCAGAGCAGAGGGAGAGGGAGAAGCAGACTCCCCGCTGGGCACAGGGCCTGATGAGGGGCTTGATCCCAGGACCCCGAGATCATGACCTGAGCCGAAGGCAGACGCTTAACCAACTGAGTCACCCAAGCACCCCTAATTTCTCCATCTATAATTTTTTAAAGATTTATTTTATTTATTTAAGAGAGAGAGTGCGAGCAGGGTTGGGGCAGAGGTGGAGGGAGAGGGACAGGCAGACTCCACACTGACTGCGGAGCCCAACCCAGGGCTTGATCTCATGACCCTGAGATCATGACCTGAGCTAAAATCAAGAGTCAGATGTTTAACCGACTGAGCCACCTAGGCGCGCCTCTATCTGTAATTTTGAAGTGGTCACAATATACAAAATATTGTCTTTATAATTTAAACTCACAAGAAGGAGACCGGAGGCCAAAACCCTATGCAATGAAGTCTACCAGATGCCTGGTGTCCTTTGGTTGCATTAAAACTGCAGACTTTGACTATTGCTAGAGTAGGTGGGCCATCAGACAGGCATTGTGAATCTTGGTTCTGAAGATTTACTTTTGCTTCTGCCAGTCACCCTGAGATCACTTCAAATTACATTCTCAGATGGAGAATATTTGGGCCACTCTAGTCATGTGAACTTTGGCCACGTGTATGAGTGTAACTTCTCAGATGAGATCTTTCTCAGCCTTTCTCCACCACTGCCAAGATGGAAACACACAAGATTTTTTGCTGTCTCTCCCTGTGTGGTAAGTTTATTTCTCGTTTACTTTTGTAGGGAAGGTATAGCCCTTTGGTGTCTCAGCTTTATGTAGGGGTCTCCCATTAGATTCCTTGTCTTGGGCACTTTTTCTTAATAGGTGTATAAAATAATGGCACGTTTTTAATTGATGGCATCCTAGATGGAGTAACATCTAGTAATTAATTAGAAAGACTAGCACTTTGGGAATAAAATACAAGGTGGGTATGCGGAATGAGGGTGGCACAGAGGCAGAAAGCCACTGAAAAGGGACATGGGGACAAATGAAGAGCTAGTTCATCATCTACGATCAGTCAGAAAGGAATCAGAATCTGACTCGACTGATAGAGTACTGTGATCATTGGCTACTATTTGGGGTTGGAATGCCTGAGGATGTGGTATGACACCAGTGAGACCCTATACCTTAGGGTAGCATATCAAAGGCCCAAGCACAGCTAGGAGAGTGGCTCCAAGAGTTTACACTGAACTACGTATGGTTCAGTGGGTGGGGGCTCAAGTTCTTTTCCTGAAGGGAAGGTGACTGGGGACCCTTGCCCATCATTTCTTTATTCTTTATCTCCCCTACTATATGTAAATTCCAGTAAGATCAGGAACTTTGTCTTTCTTCTACATCAGTGTCTTCCAGTGCCAAGAATAGTCCCTGACTCATACTAGGGGTTTAACAAGTGTATGTGATGAATGTATAGGAGATGGGTCACTGTTGGCGCTGCCGGTGGTGTTCTAGGGGTTCAGGCCTGCATTCACAGTGCTGAGGAGGCCCAGTCACCAGGCCCAAAGCGAGCAGGCAGAATTACAGAGACGCTAGAAGTGGGAGCCAAGATGCGAAGCCAAGTGGGTCAGGAAGGAGAGGAGCTGATGTGTGAGGAGGATTAGAACAGGCAGAGGGAAGGATACTGGAGGAGTGCCCTGAGCTGGAGGGCAGGCTTCTCTTCAGGAGAATGCTTAGGTGCCCATGGGTTTGGCTCATCCTAGGGTCCTTTCTCTCCCACATCAGAGGTCTCTTTTCTTCATCTTTGCCTCTCCTCCTCATCACCAAACTTCCTTCTTTCTTCAACTCACTGCAGTCTCAATTCCTTTCAAACCCCTACTACTCTGACTAAGCTTAACCCTAACATCTTAATTATATCTGGTAACTTCTCTTCACTACTTTCACGTTTGACTTCCCTGTGGTATTTGACCCCATTGGTAACCTCCTATTTCCTAAAACTCTGCCCTTGGTTTCTGGGACACTTTCTTCTGGTTTATTCTCAGTTTAATTTGAAACCTTCTCTTTCTTATCCCCTGTTGACATTCTCCAGGCCTGCCCCCTTGGATCCCTCCCTTTACACACTACAGTACAACACCATCTCCTTGACTTATCTCATTGATATCTATAGCTTCAAATACCACCTTCAGACTGTTGACTCAGAAATGAACCTCCAGTCCAGGTCTCTCTTCTAGCGTCCGACCGTATATTCAGCTAGAAGTTGTACATCCTTGTACCTTTGTACCATCATGTACTAAGATGGAAGTGCCATCTTAAGGGAACTCAGCCAACATAAGTACAGAGACCAAGCTTGTAACCTCCATGATCCATCACCCCTTTGAGGCTACCCATTTGCACTAGATCCAGTACCAACTGCTCTTTAAAATTAGCTTATGGACAGCTCTTCTAGGAAACCCTCTAGGCCAGGCTAGAGACCCCTCCTACTACCCTGTACATACCTCTATCATAGCACTTCTAACATCTCACTGTGGTTATCTGTCAGCCTACCTCTACTGCCCAAACTTCTCAAGGACAGAAAATGATTATATTCATTGTCATATCCACAGCACCCAGTATGATGCTTCTTGCTTAGTAAGTTTTCTACAAATATTTATTGAATTAAAGTAAACCAAATGGAGAGAAGCTCTAAGCTAACTGATGGCGCTAGGGGGCAAAGACGCCTGCTCCCAGTGTTGGACTCCTGTTTTTCTTCTGCTTTCCAAGAATTTCTCAATATTGAAACTGATGCCCTCTTTGTTTAACATAAAAATTTCACAGCCCCCCATAGTATCTTTACTATGCAAAAGATAACTAATAGTTTTTAACTAGAGTCCAGTTTCTATACATCCTCACCAGCTAAAAAGACTTTGTTCAGATTTATTTTCATTATTTTCTATTATAAACACAAGCATATCTTGTTTTAAATGCATATGTGTATATGCAAAACATTTCAATATTGAATGCAATTTCTAACTCTACCCCCTAGATTGTGATATGGCTGCACTGAGAATCCCTGGGTTTCCCAGTTTTGCTCTGTCCAGACTCGCTTCCCCAGGGATCCCCTTGCATCTTTCCAGTGACTGTTTGTTTCAGACTTCCAAGATGGTGAATTCCTGCCCTTGACATTTCCAGGTACCTCCTTCCCTCTCCACACATATATCTTTACCTTCCTCTCTACTGCTGCACTCATCCACGTTGTTAGGGCTCCAATTGCTGACCAAAATTCTAGGGCTGACAGATGTAAGACTTGTTCACTGACTTTGCCCCACTCTTGGGTCTAGTCTGCCTTCCTACCCTCTACCACCCACCTTTTAAGCCTTGTCTAAACTGGTGGGCAAGCTTCATGTCAGGACCTGCCTCCTCTGGCTCCTCCCCACACTATCATTCCAAAGATCTGACACATCCCAATAACCTAGAATGTCTACCAGGCTGAGAGAAGAGAGGCCTCTGCCTGGAGCCAGGGCGTGTCATTTCCCATCCTGGGAAAACCCAACAAGGTGAGGCTTGGCTTTGTTTGGTTTGCAGCCAGTTTTATCCCTCAGATGGCAGAGGACTCCATGGAGAGAATTGCTATTTTGAACATAACCTTTAACAAGGTTGAGGTGATTGGTTGATAGGAAATCTTAGACATTATGTTGACCAAGAAAGGGACACTGTTCCATAATCAGAGGGAAAGTAGGAGAGTGGAAGGAGCTTCAGCTATGTGCTCAGAAAGACCCAAGTTCTAGTTCCAAGGTATGAACCTAGGCAAGTTATTTAGCCTTTGTGAGATCCACTTTCCTCACTCATATTTGGAGATAACAACCCTACCCATTTTGAAGGGTTATTGTAAAGATGAAATGTGACCTCACTAACTGTGGGGTTGAGCATGTGGTAGGGAGCACAGTAAAAGCTCATCCAATCACCCTCTCTACCAGCATCCCGTATGGGTTTGATAAATCTTAGTTTATCAGGTTTCCAAATGTTAAATGAAAACATGTCTTTGTTCCTATGGCCAGAGACTAGGTGGAAACCTTGAGTGCAGTTGTATCATTTCTCGTAAGATTTTTTTTTCCATTTGGATAATTAAATATCTTGTTCTTTAAAAATTAATGGGTCAAGATAGCAAAATAGGTTTAAAAGCTAAACAATTACAGATATATATATGAATAACCCTTAAACATATGAAAACAAGTGCAATCTCGTAATTAGAGAAATACAAATTTCAATTGTACAGAGATATTTTTCATCTCAAAATTAGTTTAGAAGTGAAAATCATTACAGTCATTGTTGAGGCTGAGGGTAACAGGCACTTGCATACATTTGTAGTAGTAATATAAATTAGAAAACTCTTATGCAGGGACATTTTGCAATTTCTAATAAATATACATATGAGCTTAGCTTAACAAATACGGAACACTTCACGAATTTGCATGTCATTCTCATGCGGGGGCCAGGCTAATCTCCATCCTTCCAATTTTAGTACATGTTCTGCTCTTACTGAGACAGATACGATTATCCTCATTATACAGCACAGGAAACCCAGACTCACAGAGGTTAAGTAACTTGACCAAAATGACACAATTACAAAACATCACAATTCTGGGTTTATCTCTGCAATTACAACAGCCCAATACAGTAGGATTGTTATCTCATGCTTATCAGAAGCTCTAATAGCTAATTACATATAAATTTGATGAACAAAAAAGAAAAATAATTACTCAGCAAGTGGCCCTTCCTTGATAACAGCAGTTGAAGCGAATGATGTGAAGAGGGGTGGTATTTAGAGAGGTTTTGGCATTCTATAAAACAATTATCTTGGTCTCTGCAACAGGTCAATATCATGAAAAAGAAAGTTGGTGTATAGCGTGTTTAGATTAAGAGAGGCAAAAATGCAAAGCGTCATCCTTGATTTTATTTGGCTTTGAGAAAACCAGCCATAGCAGACATGTTGCGGACAAATTGGGGAACTTGAATATGGATGGAGATAAAAATAAGGAATTATTATTAATTTTTTGTTATGTGTGATAATAGAATTATCCTTTGAAGGAGAATTTTTTTTTTTTTGAAGCTTCATGCTGAACCCTTTAGTGGTAAAATTTCATAATGTCTTTATTTTAAAATGTTTCAGCCAAACGATTTATAGGTAGAGGATATGTGGCAAAATATTGGCAATTGCAGACTCTAGGTCTATGTATCATAGGTGTTCTTTGCAGTAGTATTTCTGTTTGTCTGTCTATTTGAATGTTTTCATAATCAATTATAGATGAAGGAAGAGGCCCTTGGGAATCCCTGACCTAAAGGGAGGACTCTCGAGCTATGCCATGGGGCTTGGTCCCTGGCCCTGTTACTTACAAAGACTGAGAGGAAGACAAGAAGACCAGATAATCAAATTTGGGAGGACTAATGACTGCTGGAACATAGATTCGGAAAGATGGTCACTGGCTGGAATCTGGCTAGAGGAACCTTAATAAGGAAGAAGATAGAGTCATGCGTACAGGTTTTAAAAAATTAATAGCCTAAGGAAAGCTGTTAGAACAGCAATTCTCACCAAAAGGACAAAAAAGCTTTAGTTGGTGGCAAGTCAAGGTGAGAGAATGAGGTGACACAGCTGCCAGGAAAACAAATTTCCTGTTAGTCTACATTTCTGGAAGCAGGTAATCCAGAAGGCGGGAGTGGAGTTTCCGATTCCACTCTAGGTGCCTTGTTTTGAGTGGCACTGGGGGTGGGTCTAGAGAGGGTGACTGGGCACTGCCATATTGGCCAAAGAGCCTGGGGATCATAAGTTTAAAAAAGACTAAGAGGAACGTGAGAGATGCCATCAAATACTTCAAGGGTTTTGCGCAAGATGGACTAGCCCTGTGTAGGCAGCTTCATAAAAAAGAACCAGATACACTTGTTACAATAAAATGAATTTTTGTAAAGATGCCAGGGAAGGACTGCGTTTGTTAAATGGAGAGCACTGTGTGCACCATTAATCGCTCCTGTTTCCCTGGTAAGAGAACAATGGTAAATTTGAGACAAAGAGAGAGGAAAAACAAGTAAAACTGCCTTGAAAAGTTTAAAACGCTTCCTAAGCTGAAGCATGTGTTTCTATTTGCCGGTAACATTTCAAGAGCAAAATTTCCAAGGGCCAGAGATAAAATTTATCTTTGCGCTGGATGCTTGCCTAAACTTCACCGTATTCAAGGACCGTGTTGTCCGTGTTCACAAAGACAAATAATTATGTTGACAGTTTATCAGGTTTACAATCCCAAAGCTAGATAGCCTCCTGTTGGCTTTTTAAAGTTTTTATTTACTTATTTGTTTGGTCTTCTTTTGTTTCTGAGTCAGTGAAACATTCATGTGGTTTAACATTCAAAGAATAGATAAAGAAATACTATGAAATATCCCCTCCCTCTGCCAATTTCTGTCCTCCAGCCATTCAGTTCCACTCCTCAGAGCCAACTAATGTTAACCAATATCTTGTTTCATGCACACCTTACTCTTTACCCAATTTTCTCAATGTGAGAGTCTAGGAAGCAAGGGTTTCCTGACTCTCTGGCTATGTGACCCATAGGATGCTCTCCTTTACACAAGAATAGAGTGGAATCCAACCCCAAGGGGTTTAGGAACAAGTATTCCTCGAAACAGCAAACATCTGCCAATGCCTAATTTCACTATTCAGCACTTCACTGGCCAGGCAGCGAAATGCCTCGCCAAAGACTTTGCGAGGGGGGAGATAACATTCTATGAGGGTAAATACGGCTATTTCTCCTCCGGCCAACTTTACTGACAAGGTCACACAATTGCATCTTTGTTCCTGTCCAGAGAGCTCGGCGGTTGGTGCTACAGAAAACCTTATTGCTGATATCACTGGGGATTTATAGCGGAGAGTAACTCATGCTTATTTACATATTGGCCTGTCCACATGCTTTTCATTTATGTGTATGTGTGTTATTTCTCCAGTTGAAATAAGTTCCTAATACCTAAATCCTTTGTACCCTCACTGCCCCCAACACCGGGAACTCAGCTCCTGTTTTCTCACATTGCTTGACAACCTAGGAATGGACTTTTCTTCTAAGTATCTTTCAAGTACGCCTCTTGGTAGCTCCTGTGGAGATATGCTGTCAGCATGAGATATCATTCTCATCCTCATTAAGTTAGACATGTTTTTAGAGAGATAAGAATTACATGTATTAAACAGGGACTGTACTTAACAAAGTGCTAAATTAAGGTGGGCTTGAGGAGAATGTGGTTGAAAAAAGATTGATCATCCCTGTTTTCTCTAGAGGTTAAATTAAAACCATTTCTAAATATTCTAATTATCTTGATTCTTAAGGCTTTAGTTTATAGGTTTGTTAATATTAGAAACAAATTCTGTGCTTCTTCCTTTTCTTGGAAATCTTCTAGATTCTATTGGACAGTACCCTCCTCATCCCTAAGACCTCCTTCAACCTGAGTAACTACACCCAAACAGGACATTCCAAATGGGGCTTTCCTTAGGAGGGGACAAGGCAGTTCTGCCAACTCTGTTCTACTCCTATTATCTGGAAGTCTTGGTTCCTGGACATAGGCAGGAAGCTGGGTGGCTCTGATGTGTAAAACCATGAGCTTTGACAGTCAGGCGCCAGGAAAGAGATGGGTGCCCCTGAGCAGAGCACATGGCAATAAAGGCCTACAGGACTTCCTAAGGTTAAACTGGGGACTGGAAGTGACAATGGCCTTGTGATATATGCCTGATTTCTTTTTTAAAGATCCAGCATGGATTTTCCTCAACACAGCATTTCTCTCCATTCTGGAGGGAAAGGAATTGTGCTGATTGTTTGGTTTTTAAGTTCCCTGTTAGGACGAAGGAGGATGGAAGAGTTGTCTATGAATTTTTATTATAACAAGAGTCATTTATTTTTAAAACAGCAAAACCAAGCATTAGCTTTGAATTTAAAAAAAAATCTACCCAAGATTATCCATTAAAAAAATTAATCTGAACTCTATATGACTTTGAACCAGGAATAACATGATGACTGAAGAGACTGTCTGGGCCCATTCATGAAGGGTTTTTGGATGAAGCTTAGGAACATGCAGTAGGTAAAGTAGTAAGTGACAAGTCCACTTTATTACCTCCAAGGATCCAACTCAGCATAGAAAAGATTGCATCAAGATGATGGCAGAGTCAACCATTTGACCCCCATAGTACAAAAAGAAACGAAGTTTGCTGTGCTTAAGATGATTTCTTATAAACATTACTAATGGTGAAAAAATCAGGCAGCATCCACATAGATCTCTTTGCAAGTTTAAATTGAAATGGTGGCATTGGGTTGGCCATGTGGAGAAAGCTATCAAGAGCTGGACTTCCCATCCTTCACCCTCAGTGCCACTATTCTCCAGGATGTGGCTGCAAGAGTAAAGTAAAAAGGAAGTTCGCCAGCTGGCTGACTGTTCAACAAAGCTGCTGATGGGACATCACTAGTATGCCAAGGTCACAGTGGGTCCAGGTTTACCTCTCAGATTCTGGGAAATGAGTTCATACTAACCAAAACAAATAAACTAACAAGCATCCAGAGAGAGAAATGGAGACTTCAGAGGGAATGAGAGTTCTTGTGCCAACCAGTCAACTCACTCTAGTCTCACCAGGACACTATTTGAGAAACCAAATTAAGGTTGTTAAGTAAACAATGTGAGCAAAGGGAGGCAAGGGATGCCAAAAGTTAATATAACCACACTTGGAAAACCTGCTGCTGCCCTCTCTTGAAGACCTCTGCCAAGAGACCAGAGTGCTTGGGTGGGTGAGTTAAAGCATCCTGGCATCCCTTTCCCTGCAAGGCCAGGGATGGAAGCGTATATCATGCGCACAAGAAGTTCTCAAAGTATAGTCTGGAGACCCCTGCGGGTCTCTGATATTCTTTTGGGGTGTCTGTGAGGTCAAAATTATTTTCATAATAATACTAACATGTTATTTGCCTTGTTACTTTTCTTCTCTCCCAAGGCGGCAGTGGAGTCTTCCAGAGGTTATATGACATGTGATAATGTCATCACTTTGACACTACTGGAAGGTGTGCTTGTGTATTACTGTGTTTATAACTTTCTCCATTTTAATTTCTAATGTGATAAATATCAGTAGATATAACCCACATTTTTAAAAAGATCTTTAGGGGGCACCTGGATGGCTCAGTCAGTTAAGCTTCCGACTCTTGATTTTGGCTCAGGTCATGATCTCAGGGTCATGAAATTGAGCCATGCATCGGGGCTCCACACTGAGCATGGAGCCTGCTTAAGATTCTCTCTACCTCCCCTCTACCTCTCACTGTCCCCTTCCCTGCCAGCGCTCTCGCTCTCTCTCTCTCTCAAAAAATTTAAAAACTTAAAAATTTTTTTAAAAAATTTAAAATAAATTAAAAACGTCTTTAGGGCTCTCAGTCTTTAAGAGTTTAAGAGTGTAAAAGGTTCCTAAGATGAAAAAATTTAAGAACCACTGATACAGACCATCATTCTCAGTCAGCACACTAGAACATTGGCAAACACCAGGATGTTATTCTTTTTGATGAAATTTTAGAAATACCCTTGTACTCCAGGCGGGGACTTTTTGAGATTTAGGAAGCATTCTATCTGACTAGGTATATAATATTCAAATTACCTCAAAAGCTCCACGTAATTGTGCTTGGGACATGTATCTCTCCCTAATTCAGGGGTATAGGTACCCCAAATCCTTTTACTGGATACATTAATTTGCAAAACAAAAAAGAAGAAAGAAACATTTTTATCTATGATTTGTCTGTCCTTCAGCAATGATCTGAAGTGGGATCATAATACATGCATGCCCTGAGAGGAAGTACATACTATTTTTGGAGTTATTGAACTCTAACTGAACTGAAACCAAGAATCATAACCTACCATAAATATAGGGCAATCGAGTGAGTTTTCCTAGTTTTTGGGGGGTTGTTTTTAAATGTGTGTGTATGTGTGTATAAGAAATGAGGTCAATTTAGGTACCAGGCCATTTGTTAAAGATTCCTGAAGCCCATTCTTCAAATACAGTCAGCACAGAGGTTGGTTTTCACATGTGGGTCCAGCGTCCATTTAGCCAGGATCCTGGGATTCCGCAAGGCCATTGCATCCTAAAGAATGGAAGGAACCTTCTTTTATAGGAGCCCTCCTGAAGCTGAGTATGGAGCATTTGTGCCTATAAATATAATATTTGCAAGCCTAGAGTTTTCCTCTGTCTCCTTCACATTGCTGACACATGGACCAAGACAGAGTTGGAGGTAGACATTCTCAAACCAAAGTAACCAAAGAACAAAATACAAGCATGTGATTTAGATATGAATGAGCAAAGATCAGATGAATATCTGATAATACACAGGACACTAAACAAGGGGGACAAGACAAGGCATGTTTCCTGTCCTCGAGAGTTGCAATCACTAAGCACTTGCCATTTTCCCATTGTATCACAGTATCCTGTCATCTACCAGTTAAACTGACAGAGATAAGGACAGGAGGGCGACCTCCATTTCTCTCCTGTATTCATAATAGGTTGAATTCATGAGAGACCTCCAGGAGCCATCTCTAGCCCCCTGCCCTGAAGAAGAGCTGAAAGATAATTCAAGTCTTTGAAACAGAAGAATGTTGTCTACTATAACACAGTTAAAAATCTTAAGAAAATAATAAAATTAATGACACCCAAAATGTTCCATTTTAATCAGTAAATCTTTATAATCATGGAAATTAAACCACTTGTCTTTAGGAAAATGAGTGAGAAGACAATGGCAAAAGCTAGAATTCGAGCAATTACAAGAAGGCAAAAGTGAGTCACCTTTTTGGTGACAGGAGGGAATTAGGCTAATATGCCTGAAACTGGCTTGGTTAACTTGTTTTCTCTCTGTGAGTCTGGAAGGTGAAGCTCCACAGTGAGCTCTGACCACTCACTGCCTCATTGTCTTGCCCTTTGGCTCCTTTCTGGGCAAGGAAGAGAGTTGTGTGTCCTGCAGAGTTGCGTAGGTATCTGCCAACAGTCCGTGGAAGACAGCTGTCCTGGGGCCCAGAATGGGCAGTCTGTAGTGAATACTCTCTGGAGGACAGTGCAAGAAGGAAAAACAAGGGTTTCTTAGAATCTATTTTTAAAGAAGTTCAAAATTTCGAAAGGTCACCAAAGACTCTTTTTTGGCCTTATAAAACAGATTCAAAATTCACCTAAGAATTCCTTTTAATAGAACCATTTTATCCTGCACAAGATTTAAGCTCCTATAAATCTTGTCAAAGAGGTCAGGAAAGAGTACCTAGAAACAAAACTCAAGTATTAGGAGTCATTGCCAATTAAATAAAAAGTGAATATAAAATGTGGCTGGAGTTATAAGGTGAGTTGAAGGGAAAAGAAGATTCAATTCTCAGGATGACGTAACTGGGTAATGGACATTAAGGAAGGCATGTGATGTAATGAGCACTGGGTATTATATAAGACTGATGAATCACAGGGCGCCTGGGTGGCTCAGATGGTTGAGCGTCTGCCTTCGGCTCAGGTCATGATCCCGGGGTCCTGGGATTGAGTCCCACATCGGGCTCCCTGCTCCTTGGGAGCCTGCTTCTCCCTCTGCCTCTCTCTCTCTCTCTCTCCCTCTGTCTCTCATGAATAAATAAATAAAATCTTTAATAATAAAAAAAAAAAAGACTGATGAATCACAGACCTGTACCTCTGAAACCAACAATACTTTATGTGCTAATTAATTGAATTAAAATTTTAAAAAATATTTAAAAAAGAAAGCTTTTCAGGGACACATATATGGTTCTATCTTCAGAAAACAAACATGATCTTACGAAAAGTCTACAATAGTACTTGTATTTCAAAAGGAACCTTAATTTTATGAAATAAATTAGGGTTCTTTAAAATCCTCATCATCCTGACCTCTTCTTCAAATGTGATTTTATTTACAAAAATGTTGGTTAATATTCAGCTTTTCCAGAAGACACATTGCTTGATGGATAACGTCTTTCTATTGGAAGTCACTGAATGGAAGGGAACTGGAGTCCTGAATTCTCTGGAAAAGCTCCTCACTCCAGCTGGATGAGAGTGAAGAGATGTCACAAGACCACAGACCTAGGATCTGGTTCGGTCTCATCACTGTAATGAAGAGGAAACAGAGGTCCAGGGTCACAGGCACCGATGTTTATTGACAACAGGAGCCTGTACATGTCATGGAACTCTGGACTCGAAGCCAGAGTCAAGATAAATGAATCCGGAAGAAATCCCCATAACTTATGGAGATAGGCTCTTTCTGTTTACTTAGTTCTCACTAATAATTACTGATAATATATAAGGGTTAGCTGAATCCAGAAACATACTAGAAGTCACTGTTGTGATCCAGGAGAGGAGTTAGACAATGACTGGCGGTTATGTTCATTGGGATGAGTCAGCCATGTGGTATTTCTAGGGTGTCCACAGGGAAGGCAGCATGGGTGGGTGGCTGCTTTAGCAATAAGCAAGTGCCGTAGCAGGGACACGTCTAAGCTGCGGAAACCCGTGGGGCCAGGGCAATGTCAGCAGTTTTTCTGGGTTGATCAAAGGTGAAGGCTTCTCATACTGAGCGTCTGGCTCTCAGGGGCGGGGTGGGAGAGGAGGAGCGCTGGGGGGAGGGGGGTAGGCGGGGCGGCAGAACGTTTCTCTGGCTTTATGGGTGGGAACCCAGAGGCCCAGACAGTTTAAACTATTTGGCCAGTCCTGTAGAGCAAGACTAGGATCTGAACCCAGGTCTCCTTGCTTCTAGGTTAGTGCTTTTACCTCACCTCAGAGGGCACCTGCAGGGGCAAAGCTCGGCTCAGAAATGTCACAGCTGGAATTGATAGTAGATCTGCCAAGCTTCAGCTCCTAGTCAGCTCCATAAGCACTCTCCCCAAAGTCCTACCTCTAAGATTGCTCTCTTGGATGGACTCTATGGGCAAGAGTCATAAGATGTCCAAGAACATAACGTGCTGACCTTATGTACACAGTCTAGTTCTTATACTGGTGACTGAAATACACTCCCGTGGCTAATAAATTGATGAAAGGCATCTTATCGCATTGCCCGGTAGAATCACAAATTAAACATTCTTGCTGAGGGGAAGGGCATGTAAGTGTGTGCATGTGTGTGCGTGTGTGTGTGTGCGCATGTGCTCTACTCCTTTGTGAGGCAGGCCTGAAAAAATCCAGGTTCAAGGAAAACTCAGAATGAGCGTGTGACTGGAAATGAGAACACTGAAACCAAGAGCACATGCATGTCACCCAGGGTTCTCTTGGCTTCTGGAGAATGAGGTGCTCACACACCAGTGAACAGCGGAGGGGGAGCTTTTCTTGGATGGATGTTCCTAGTTCTTGGCTCTTTCGTTTCACTTTGGCTAAATGAGAGTCAGGAGGTAGGCCAATATTTCTGGATACCTAAGAAGGGATTCACTGGGACTGGCGGTCTTTTCCCTCCACTCCACTAATGTGAATATCTGCATGCCTCAGCTGTTTACCCAAGTCTGTGGTCCCCCCTTTTAGCATCCCTTCCAGATATCCCTTCTATCTTCACATTTCCTCTCTGGATGCCTTCTCAGCAATTCTGGATCTAGCTCCCCTGCCGATGGAGATTAGACTCTCCCATTTGTATAAAGCAAGGAAAGGGATCTCGATTTTCCTTCTTGTGTATATTAAATGAGAGAAAAGCCAGAGGTGGCCTCAGTTAATATGGGAGCAAATGAGAAAATGGATAAACTTACTAACATAACAGCCTCTACTGCACCAACCCCTTGAGCTGTATCCCCCCAAAGACTAACCTGCACCCACCTTCACCAGCTCAGTGGTGATGTCTCTAAAAGATGAGACATAGGTCGATGACGAAGCTGGAGCTGAAGCCGCTATCCTTTTGTCTATTAATAGCAAGTGGACATAAGAATAGCACTGGGCAGCTGCCAGAAGTCAGGTGGTTTAGGAAGCCTGTGGGATGGGAGGTTCAGGGATTTGGAGAGGCCATTCCAAGGGTGTGGGGATGCAGTTCCTTTCCCACCTTAACTGCCTGAAAGGGAATTACCTACTTTGTGCCCCATTTCCGTGAAAATTCTTCAGCAAGTAGGTATGAGGCTCTTTAGAAAGAATGGGGCAGATCCCTGTGGCATGGAGAAGACCTGGGAAGGAGCTTGGCACAGATGAAGGCCAGTGAGGCCTGGAGAGGGGCCAGGCGGGGCTGGCCTGAAGGGAGGGCTGGGGGGCAATCAAAACAGGCCATAAGCAGTATGTGAAAAGAGAAAGGGGCAGACAGAGGGAACTTGTTCGGAAAATGTAGAAACTATCTTAGGGATTAAACTTTTCGTCCTACTACTCTAGAGGTAGTATGTCCCCCACTACAAGTACTCCGAACACAAACCTGTTGAGATGTCATTATGGGAACATTTGGATACAGTCTGGGCTTTTGGTGGAGGAAGACTCATCGTTCTGTTTGGAAGAAGCAAGAAAACACATCAGTTATGTGGCTAAGGCCCAGTGGAAAGGAATGTGCCTTTATACATTTTAAAACACAGGTGCTCTTTTGAAACCAGCACCTGTTAACCTGGTGCTCAGACCACTTTGCCACAGTCTAAGATGATGGGGCCAGAGACCACTATACCTCAAGCTCTCTCACTTTTATGAATTTTGATAAAAACTTCCTGAAAAAAATATTTTATTCATTGTCAGAACATGTGTGGTCTAAATAGAAGGAATCAAGAATCCTCCAGTTTCCAGGAAAAAAAAAAAATGAACAACTCTTCCAGATCAGTAATCTACCCTGCCAAGTGCAAAACAGAGTATTTTGGTTAGAACCTTCTTACTTTATTTTTATTTTTTTGCCTTAAAATCTCTTCTTTTATTCCCATCAGTATTATTCTGCAAGACTAGTTTGTCTACTGTTGAATGTTATTAAAGCAAGACAGAAACCATTTAGAAATACTTTGTTGTCAATCCAACTTTGATTAAAGAAATTTTTAAAAATCTTTATTTATTTAAGTAATCTCTACACCCGACGTGGGGCTTAAACTCACGACCCTGAGATCAAAAGTAGCATGCTTTTCCAACTGAGCCACCAGGTAACCCTAAATCAACTTTTATAAAGATTATTTTTATTTATTAATTTTTTTTTTTTAGTTTTTATTTTAATCATCCAGTGCTCATCACAAGTCTACTCCTTAATCCCCATCACCTATTTCACCTTCCAATTTTAGAGAAAATGTCTTGACTACATCTCCTATTTCTCCTGGTGGCTAAGGCTATGGAAGTGACCCTTGACCAAAATGATATGAGTCCAAACCATTTCTACATTAAATTGCTTAATTTCTAAAGACTGACAAATCTGTAAACTTTGATGGGATCTGCACTCATTTCAATGTTCCCATTTCTTTTTTTTTTTAAGATTTTATTTATTTATTTGACAGAGAGAGACACAGTGAGAGAGGGAACACAAGCAGGGGGAGTGGGAGATGGAGAAGCAGGCTTCCCGCGGAGCAGGGAGCCCGATGCGGGGCTCGATCCCAGGACCCTGGGATCATGACCTGAGCCGAAGGCCGACGCTTAACAACTGAGCCAACCAGGCGCCCCTCATTGTTTCCATTTCTACAAAGATTTTCCAAGATTATTTTTACTTTGCCACCAAAAATATGGCGCATCTGGCCAGTTTATCTTACTCAATTGCCACTGGAGGAATCAGTGGGACTAAGGAAAAGAAAAATTCCTCCTATTACCCATGTTGAACAAACAGGAAGGTGGTATTTCTAAGACTGAGTAATTAAGATTTGTTTGTACTATAATTCAACAAATATGTATCTCTCCACTCATCTTTTCTCTCTCTTTTTCTCCTTCCCTCCCTTCCTTCTTTCCTTCATTCCTTCCATTCAACAAACTTCACTTAATTTCTACAATGGTTACAATTAAAGTCACTTTTTAAAAACTCTTATTTTGGTAAGGACAATTCTACCTGCCTATATATAGAGAGAGACTCAAAAACTGTGAGGACAGATTTTATAAGCTACAAACAGAACCAGGACCTTACTTTATAGTCACACAAGCTAAATCTCAAACAGAAGTGGTTTGTTTTCCTTCATTACACTGAAAAAAATGACCCATCTAGTGATACTTCAGGTTGGTGTAGACGTGATTTTAGGATTGGTTCAACCCTTAGTCTACCTCAAGGAATAAGAGTTATTTGTTTAAAATCAGCTAATGATTCTGGAATTTGGGACTTTATTTAAAATACCAAACTTGCAAGATAAATGAACTGGGGCAACAAATTTCAAAAGTTTCTGTCACTGAGGAGTGAAACTTTTGCTCGGAAATCCCAGACTTTAGATAGTTCCGTTTTCTATTTAAAGTCTATACAGAATATTTATTTGAATTACTTTTATTATGATCTGATAGGAGCTTTGAAAAAGTTGCAGGTAAACGTTATTAATGCTGGAGCGTGTTGTGCTCAAATACACTACCCACTCCTCCCTGACCCTGTCTCTCTGGACCAGGCACCCAGCACATGGGTTCCATACATCTGAGTCTACACTGCAGGTTGGAGCAAATTTCATAAAAGGAATCCTAACATCTACTGCTGTCCAACATAAGGTTACAAAAAGACCTATCTGTTTTTTAATATTTTGCTTTCTCTATGAGGAAAAAAAGTTGAAGATTGCCATTGGATCACATATAACTTTTTTGATTAGTCACGTCAAATCTGACCATGACTGTTTGCCTACATTCCAACCATCTATGGTTAAGGCAAGTCTACCTACACTGGTGCTTTAGCCAGGGTGAGTCTGTATTTCAAGTGTTTTTAATGAAGTAAAAGCTTCTTTAAAGTCCTTTTTCCCTTTCTGATAGTAGTTAAATACGGGGGTGGGGGGAGATCCCTGAAATCCAACTAATCAAAATTCTGACTGGATTTTATTTTTTTATATACTTGATCTTGATAAGAAAGCAGCAAACGACAACCAAACAAACTGATGACAGGAATTTTGGTTACTGAAAAGTAGCAGAGGATGTCCTGGGCTGAGAACAGATTGTGTGTGATGTCCCATACCTTCTGAATTACATAAGTCATCTACATGGAGAATGCGTACTCGGTTCTGCCTGAGTTACCAAAGGAATCTCGTATCCTCCTCTTTGTACTGTTCTTGGGAAGGTGGAAAGGCAGATTATGCTTTCTACTGTAATTTCAATAGCTGTTCAAGCAAAAAGGTGAAAACAACTTTTTTTTTGTCTAACTCTCTCGTTTAACCAGGAAATGAAACCACTCAAGAAGCCCATTCTCTAAGCATTCCCTGAACTTATTATGTTTCTTAATCCACTGTTCTGTGCCCCCAAACTGATATAAACAGAATTAAAATAATGTCCTGATTTAAATCTTAGGCTTACCTATGATTCATAAAATTCTCAAAGGATAGTTTCAGATTATGAGGGATTATCATAGTTCTTGGTTGTACCTGAGAAAGAAAATCTCATTTAGAACATTGCCCCAAACTGTATTCCAGTTTAAATAAATAATGCACCACCTTAGCAAACTCAAGTTGTATTTAATATTAGAATCATTCATATATTCTTCTGTGATATGAATGAACAAGAGGGGATCACCTGCCCATAAGTCATAGGGTCTATGTTCTTCCCTGGTTATCAGATTTTGAAGTTAGAAACCTAAAGTTTGGTAAAGCCACCAATTCTCTTTGTTTAGCTCACCCCCCAAAATTCTTCAGGTCTCAGATCACCTGTCAGCCTCTCGCGGACACCACTGACTTCTGGACCACTGTTAGGTAGTCCTCTGCCTTACGTTCTCACTGTTCCCTAGGCTTCCTCTACCAACATACTCCTAAGGTTTTTATTGTATTTACTTGCTTAATGTCTGGTTTCCCTCATAGACTTTCAGCTTCATGGGGGCAGAGACCATGTCCTTATTTTTGTATTTCCAGGTTCTAACACAGTGCCTGTTCAAAAAATATTTGTTGATCAAATTAGTGAATGAATGAACCCACTTTGAAGCACACTTGAAAGTTTTAAGTGTGCCCTTCCTAGAGGACTATAATAAATTACACAGTTATACTATTCCTGATTAAGACAATATTTTCTTGAACTTTTCCAGATTTGTTACTCACACTAGATATTGGCTTTCTTTAGGAGCTCAGGCTTTCACTAAGAATCACTTTTTCCCCCAACATTTCTCAAAAGATATCATAGCCGTGACAATGAAAAGATAATCACAAGATGTGGGTGCAGGTGTTCCCTTGGGCTATTCATTGAGTGACTTGTGATTTAAATGTATGACACAATGAAGCTGCAAATTACTATGTGTTAAGGGCCTTCAGAGGTGCTTGAAAAGAGAGAAGAATCTGAACATTAGGTCTATAGAAATGCCAATCACTTACGGTATTTAATCAGATTGTTGTAACTCACTAGCTGAGGGGAAGCATCTAGGAGGAGGAAAGAAATGATCTGATAACAGTAGCATATGGGAGTAGTGAGGGCAGCAAAGGCTTTGATGAGAACCTGGTAAGAGGCTTCTAGATACATAAAAGGGATGAGAATGAAGGAGACACACTGCCTTTTTAAAATTTCTTCTGAAATTGGCTCTGTTGCAAAGAAAGATGGAGGAAACTCTCTACCTTCTCCTGATTATACGCCCCTTTTCAAAAGCCCCTAAATCCAGCTAGTGCTATTGTATGCATGAATGGGCTATCGGGGGCTACCCCAGAACAAAGCTACCAAAGATAGCAGTTTTGTCCCTGAGAAGAAGTGTGTCCTGTGGGCAACTCCTATTCAGTCTTGAAAACTATGCATCGTCTTCTTCTGGGAAGACTTCTCTGATATCTACTTTCCATGCCTGTTCACATCTACCAGGTCTATTGCTATTTCTATTCATCATTTTATTATCATTATTTGTTTACCCATTGGCTCCTTAAAGGTAGGGCTTATGTCTTATTCTTTTATTTATTTTTTTTTCCTTTGTAGCTGAGCTATTACCTAAGTACCTGGCCTATGGTAGGCAGTCAATAAATACCTATTGAAATGAACTGAATTAGGGCGCCTGGGTGGCTCAGTTGGTTGAGTGACTGCCTTCGGCTCAGGTCATGATCCTGGAGTCCCTGGATCGAGTCCTGCATCAGGCTTCCTGCTCGGCAGGGAGTCTGCTTCATCCTCTGACCCTATCCCCTCTCAGGTGTTCTCTCTCTCTCAAATAAATAAATAAAATCTTTAAAAAAAAAAAAAGAAATGAACTGAATTACGTAAATAGACTTTTGAGACCAATGAACATACATATGTTAGAGAATGGCTCCCTACAGTATTTCCAGCTTGACATCCTACTTTGAAGGGGCTTGAAAGTGTGTATTAGAGAGCAATGCACATAACAGAAGGACTACAAAATAGATGTTTTAAGGGGAAGATGAGCTGTTTGGAGTAGACACGTAATAAGAGACAATTTACATAAAACTAAGGTGGCTACCCCTGGTGACTCACAGCCATAACTTTCAGTAGGTAATTTCTTCCACACTAAATAATTGAGCTCCTGGCCCAGAGTACTCATACCCAGGAGTATGAGTAGTCATACAAAACAGGTCCTACTAGGATTTTTCTTTTTTGATACTCATCCACTTTATGCTTTTATTTTTTTAAGATTTATTTATTTATTTATTTGAGAGACAGAGATAGCCAGAGAGAGCATGAGTGGGGGAGGGGGTTGAGAGGGAGAAGCAGGCTCCCCACAGAGCAGGGAGCCCGATGTGGGGCTCCAACCCAGGACCCTGGGATCATGACCTGAGCTGAAGGCAGACGCTTAACTGACTGAGACACCCAAGCACCCCACTTATGCTTTTATTTTTAAAAATATTTTTCTAGTGCTAATCTTTTTTTTTTTTAATTCAGACACCTAAGATTCACCATCTCAATGTACAACTCAGTGGTTTTTAGTAGCATCACAAAGTTGCACAACAATCACCACTATCTACTTCCAGAAGATTTTCAACAGCCAAGAAAGAAGCTCTGTCCTCATTAGCACTCATTTTCATTCATTCGTTCCCCAAGTCCTTGGCAACCACTATCTATTTTCTGTTTCTACAGATTTGCCTATTCTGGACATTTCATATAAATGAAATCAATATAACACGTGGCCTTTACTGGTTTCTTTTACGTAACAAAATGTTTTCAAAGTTTATCCAGGTTGTAGCATATATAAGTACCTTCTTTTCATGGCTGAATAATATTCCATTGTATGGATCACATTTTGTTTACGCATTCATCAGTTGATGGACCTTTGAAGTATTTTCAGTTTTTGGCTATTATGAATTAATGTTGCTATGAACATTCTTGTACAAGTTTGTGTATGGACATATGTTTTCAGTTCTCTTGGGTATATATCTAGGATGGAAATGCTGGGTCATATGGTGACTCTATGTTTAAGTTTTTGAGGAATTGCCAATTGCTGTTTCCTAGAGCAGTTGCATTGTTTTGCATTCCTACCAGCAATGGATGGGGATTCCAGTTTCTCCATATCCTCGCCAACACTTGTTATTGTCCACTTTTTTATTATGGGCATTCTAGTGGGTGTCAAATAATGTCTCATTATGGTTTCAGTCACATTTCCTTAATGGTTAATGATGTTGAGCATCTTTTCATGTGTTTATTGGCCATTTGAATATCTTCTTTAGAGAAATGTTTATTTAAATTTTTTGTCCATTTTGAAATGTGTCTGTGTTTTTATTGTTGAGTTGTAAACTTTTTAAAAATATATTTTGGATTCTAGTTCCTTTTCAGATATATGATTTGCAAACATTTTCTCCCATTCTGTGGGTTGTCTTTTCATGTTCTTGATGGTGTTCTTTGCAGCAAAAAAATTTTTAATTTTGATGAAGGTGAATTTAGGTAGTTTTTGTTGTTGTTTGTGCTTTTGGTGTCACATCTAAGAAACCATTATGTTATTCAAGGTCATGAATATTTACACCTATGTTTTCCTCTAGGTGTTTGTGTTCTAGCTCTCACAATTAGGTCTTTGATCTATTTGTAGCTATTTTTTGTATATGGCGTGAGGGAGGGACATAACTTCATTCTTTTGCATATGGATATACAATTGTCTCAGTACCATTTACTGAAAAGACTGTTTTTTCCTCATGAAATTGTCTTGACACCTTTGTCAAAAATCAGCTGTTCAGGACCTCTTATTCTTATGGAGATCCCGTAGTATGTAATTAAATTTGATTTTCTCCTGTTAAAAATTTTTTTTAGTTGTTCACAGATGTAAGGTTTTATTTCTGGACTCTCAATTTTTTTTTCCACTGATCTGTATCTTTATCCTTATGTCAGTACCACAAAGTCCTGATTATTGTAGCTTTATAGTAGGTTTTGAAATCAGGAAGTGTGAGTCCTCCAACTTTGTTTTCATTTCCAGGATTGTTTTAGCTATAGTGCATTTCTTGCATTTCTATATGAATTTTAAGATCTGCTTGTCAATTTCTCCAAAAATATCACATGAGATTTTGAGAGGAATCATACAGAACATGTAGATCAATTTGGGAGTATTGCTATCTTAAAATCCGTAAACATGGTTTTTTTGCATTTATTTAGGTCTTTTTAAATTTCTTTACATGATGTTTTATAGCTTTTGATATACAAGTTGTGCATTTATTTTGTTAAATTTATTTCTAAGTTTTTTAATTTTTTGATGTTATTGCAAATGGAACTGTTTTCTTAATTTCATTTTTGGATTGTTTATTGCTGGTATATAGAAATAGAATTGATTTTTGTATATTGACCTTGTATCCTGTAACTCTGCTCTACTCATTTATTAGCTTTAATTGTGTTTTGTGGGTCCCTTAGGACTTTCTAGATGTAAGATTATGCCATCTGAAAATACAGCTTTATATCTTCCTTTCCAATCTGGTAGCCTTTTATTTCTTTCTCTTGTCTTAACTGCCCCACCTAAAACACATAGTACGATGTTAAGCAGAAGCAGCAAGATTGGACATCCTGGTCTTGTTTCTGATCTAAGGGGAAAATATCCAGTCTTTCTTCATTGAGTATGATGTTAGCTGTTGGTTTTTCATAGATATGCTTTATTGGGTTGAGGAAGTTCCTTCTATTTTAGGAGCCTTTTTTTTTATTATTTTTTTTTTTTTAGAGATTTTATTTTATTTGACAGAGAGAGAGACAGCTAGAGAGGGAACACAAGCAGGGGGAGTGGCAGAGGGAGAAATAGGCTTCCCGCTGAGCAGGGAGCCCGATGTGGGGCTCGATCCCAGGACCCTGGGATCATGACCTGAGCCGAAGGCAGACTCCTAACGACAGAGCCACCCAGGTGCCCCTAGGAGCCTTTTTATATCTTCCCCAGCATCTGCCTTCAGCCCCCTGCTGAGAAATGAGGGGTCTCGGTGACTACAGCAGAAATGCAGTACCCCAAACCCAGGAGGAATATGAAGCATTGTTGCACATAGTGAAGCAAGTGTATTTATTTCATGCTCATTTTCTAACTTTTTATAGTTTCCTACAGGCATATGCACTGGTTCTAACTTTCATGTTTGAGGTCTTCCTTTTGGGGATCTGCAATGAATGGTAAAACCACAGTGTGTGGTTCTACTCCAGTCAGGCCTGGGCAAGGGCAAAGTTCAGAGAAGAGGTCTTGAGAAAGAGAGCAGCTGCTGAAGTCCCAAGTGAGCCATCTGGCAAAAGTCAGCTTGGGCCCAGGGTCAGTGCATTCTAAATGTGGATACAGTGATTCCAGGAATAAGACCAGGAGAAATCCCAATCCCAGTTTCCCAGATTCCAGTCAATGCTAATATTGAACGCTGTGATCTTAATTAAGTAGAATGTGAACACAGATTGTAACATTCAGATACATCTTTGTCTATAGCTTCAGTTAAATTTCCAAATCCCACAGAAAAATTTCACAAAACTGCTGGTCTCTTTCATATCCTATTAGTCAAAGCACTTTCGCCATTAACACACCAGAGGCTCTCTCACGTCTCCTGATTTTCTTCTACTCCTGCCCTTCCTCTTATTGCACATAAGCCCAGAGTCAAAGGAGAATCATAGGATATCAGAATTGTAAAAACCCTTACTCAACTCCTACCCTAAACCTAACCGTTTAACTAAATTAAACTTCAACCCAAGCCTGACTGACCCTAACCCTAATCCTTAACCTGACCCAAGTCCTAACGCTGACCTGTACAGCATTCCTCCAGACGCAGGCCTCTTTCGGCAGCAATTCTGACAGATGGCAGAGCTTTGTCCTTGTTTCCTCCATATCCCCTTGTCATCCTTCATCCCCCACCATTCTGCACCACCAGTTACAGACACCCCCCACTGGCTGGAAAGCACTATAGGATCTCTCCTTAGCTTTTATTCTGAGGTGCTGATTGAATTGATATACCCAAAGATTAAGCTGCTTGTTTCATGACTGTAATGGTAGAAGCAGGTTGTGTTGTATGGGTGTGCGTTGTGTTGCGTTGTATTGGGGAAATGTTAAGGTGGGGAGAAGTTCCACAACCTCCTGAACCTCTACAGCAGTGTAGTTACTTTAGGATCTCAAAGTAAAGTGGCTCGTCTCATCTCTACCCCTCTGACTCACCTACCTTAATTCATCTTTTGGTTTCTTGAAAATGGAGAGGGTTTATTGCATTGTGTCAGATAATGGTGCTCCCAGGGCCAACAGGTCCTTATTTGCAGCCTTCCCTGCAAAAAGTGTTGTCTCTCCACTGGGCTCTGGTGGGGGAGGGGTAGTGCTGTGCCCTGGGAGGCCCATGCTCATCTCTGCCATCCCGCTGACCTACCATTTTTATTTCTTGACATGTGGAGCACAGCTGCTTGTTTCTGATGAGCATGGGGTTACTCTGGATCCTCCTGGCCTGAGGGGAGAGAGAAACAGAGGGAGGTGAGGAAACAGTGGGGGTACTCGGGGCAGCAAAGAAAGGGGACAGGGCTGGAGGAGTGAGAGAGGTAACAGTTATTCCTTCCATAAAACAGAGGGAGTCTCTGGTCTCAGCCCCATCCTAGGTGGATGCTGAGTCCAGGCGTGGCTGCCAGTGGGAGGTTCAGAAAGAGTTTAGGCAGGAGGGGGTGATCCACAGACTAATCGGTGTCTAATATAGTGATACAGGTGCAACTTACCCTTCTTTGCTCACACTGACATCAGAGCCATGAGGTATGTTCATAGGAAGAGCATAATATAGGGGAGAAGAGGGTCGGAGGGACAGACAATAACTATGAGTTAAAGCCCCCCGCCCCTGCCACTCGATGGTCTGCTGACCTCTTACTACATGTGTGTACCCCTGTGGCCTGACCCGTTGCTGCTGCCCTGCGAGGGGTGGGGAACCGGGAGAGGAGGAATATGTCTCTGCAGCAGGGGGAGGGCCTGGGGTGTGCTCCCAGGGTGACCTTCAGGGGACTGGTCTGCGAGTAGCTTCATCCTCTGAGAGACATAAGAGTGTTTGGGTGAGGCACTATTATTGAAGGGACGAAGACTGAAAACTGGAGACAAAGTTGGATTCTTTTGACAAATATTTAAAATACATTTCATTTTTATAGGCCATTTAAAGAGAATCAACTGCGTATTACAACGTTGTGGGTTGGTATGTTAAAGCATGAGTGTGAACAGCTTGATTCATTCATTCAACAATGGACATTTATTGTGAGGCCACCCTGTGGGGGGTGCTGGGCTGGGGCCACAGAGATGAATAAGACATTTTCTGGCCCTAAGGCAGGCCAGGGAAAGACACAAATTCACTCATCTGCCCATTCGTTAGATACTGGGGTCCCTGATCTGACCTCAAGCTGCGCACCACCCGGCAGACTGCGTACAAAGAAGCACAATGGTGTGGAAGGTACTATGACAGAAGTATGTTGAGGCCACTGTGAAACGGAAAAAAGCCAAAGAGCTCAGCTGGGGTGGGGGGGGGGGGGGGTGGGGCATAGACGGAAGGGTCTGAGAAGGGCTACTGGAGCCGGCAATGCTTGGGTAGGTGTTGGTGGGGTGAGGACATTCCAACCCCTGGGAAACACTGTGGCACCGCGGAAGAATGACCTAGCGCATTGGCATCAGGTAACCGAGGTTAGCTGCCTGGTGTGGGGAGTGGGCAGAGAGGTCAGAGAGGCAGAGACTGCTGGGCCTTTGGAAGATTCTACCTTCTGCCAGATCTTCTCTGATCTCCTGGGGGTGGTATCTCCTGGGGTTTGGCTCCTCCTCCCATCCCTCACCTCTGTGAGTTCTGAGACTAAGATAGATCTCTGAAACTGTCATCCAAGGCTGGATGCACTAGATATCACAGAAGCAGCACCGATATTTCTGGGCCTCCAGAAAAGAGAGACTACGTCCCATTGCAGGATTAGGAGAAGCTTCGAGAAGTGGCATTTACACTGAGTCTGAAAGGATGCAGAAGGCATAGACAGGTGGAGGTGGCAGTGGGAGGATCTTTGGGCAGATTTGGTTTTGGTGGAGTTACCAGCAGATTCTTATTTTTCCTGTAGTGGATTCCTTCTCCTTTTCCAGATTTCTGGTTTCTACATAAGAATAAGAGTTCATTGCAAATCAAGCAACAGACATATCTGCGAGGCCTTTAGGGTGCATGCAGATCTTGCCAGGTTAATGATGGCTGCAGATGTGACTCCCAAGTTGCATAACCATGACGACTGCCATCCTGTGGGACCTGAAGACAAAATGTTTTATATATCGTCCTGGCCAACTCTGTTAACTCCTCATCTGTTAAGACATAACTTTGCTATTACTTTCTCAGAAAGTCTTTTTCCTGGCCCTCTTATCATTTTGCACACCCCGAACCTGATTTGGGTGCTTGCCATTCTGATTCCATCACAGACTTGGCATAGCGTTTTGTTGTATTTTGTCCTGTTATTCTTTCTTCTTTCTTTCTTCTTCATTTTCTTTCTTTCTTTCTTTTCTTTCTTTCTTTTCTTTCTTTCTTTCTCTTTCTTCCTTCCTTCCTTCCTTCCTTCCTTCCTTCCTTCCTCCCTCCCTCCCTCCCTCCCTTCCTCTCTTTCTTTCTTTTTTAAATGTGTTTATTTCCTCCACCAGGCTGGGAGTTCTTGAAAAGCAAAAACACATCTCAAACATCTTTGCATCCCTAGAGCCCATCAAGAATCTAGCACACAGTAGGCATTCGAGCTGAGGGGGAGGGGCAGAGGGAGAGGGAGAAGCAGACTCCCCACTGACCAAGGAGCCCGACGTGCAGCTCAATCCTAGGACCCCGGGATCATGACCTGAGCCGAAGGCAGACACTTAACCGACTGAGCCACCCAGCTGCCCCCGTTGTAAGCATTTTAAACTATCACACGTAACATATACTTATGTGTGTACAAGGAAATCAAAGCAAACAATTTGGGATTCCATGTTCTGTAGACCTCCGCTTCCCCCGCGTCCCCCCACCCACTGCCTTGCTTTCTTTCCCAGCCCTGGAACCAAAGGTCTTCCCCTCCTGCAGCACTTGCTGCTCACTCTTGGTTTCCCCAAGGCCGGCTCAGCAGCAGTAGCAGGGATGGCAAGTGAACTGGCTGGGGCTTCAGAGCACAGGCCCCTGGTGGTATCACCTGCAGAGTCAGAGCCACCAAGAAAAGCAACGCTGACATGGTAGGGGGGTTCTCATTTTCCAAGCAGCTGTCCCCAGGATGGCAGATGGCAGCTGTGACGAGAAAGTGAGAGCAACCTTTTGTAGGCTGGCCAAGGTACGACGCACAATTCAGCTGGGCCAGAAGCCAGTCTGCTCTTCACATGTCACGATGGGAGACGTCTTAATACTTGAGGTTAATACCTGCTGAGGTTCGTAAGGTCTGGCTCATGGCCCAAGTCCTTGGCCTTCTTGAATCTTTGATAAAGAAACAGAGAAACATGTTTCTCTCCTTCTCCCTCTCTTCACCTCTCTCTCTGTCTCACACACACACACACATATACCTCTCCACATAACAAAAACTGAAAATGTAAAAGCACCAGATGGTGATTTTAAAAATAGCCCTCATGAGCATGCTGAGGAGCACTGACAAATTTGCCTCCATCCTCCCTGCCCTTTGACACCTCTGTTCCTTTCCTCCTTTCCACTCCTGCCTTCAGTGAGAGACACCTCGTGGGTCACCTCTAGTTCAATCCTTTCAGTGAACACAACAAATTGTGACCCAGAAGGGTTAAGAGATTTGTCCAAACATACATTTCGTTTCAGTGAGCCAGAAACTTCCTTGGATAAAGGGTCAAAAGAAGATTACCTTTCCTCAGGGAGAAAGTGGATTCTTAGGATCCATATGAGGGCATAATGATTCCTATATCCCTTAGAAAAAAAAGTGGTGATCAGAGAGCTATTTTCAATATTCCAAAAAAGAACCCTCTGAAAATTACACATCTTCCTGCGATCTGAAAATACCAGCCATCTCCATTAAAGAATAAAGCTGAATATAGTTTTTTTTTTTTAAATACTCATATGGTTGACTCAGAAACATTTCAAACCTGCACAAAGTGTTATCAACAGCCATGCATTTACCGTCCAGACTTATTAAACTTGGGTTTTATTACCGTCAGATCAGTGGTGGTCATTATTACCTCCCTTTTAAAATCGTATCTGCAGTTACATGGGTCTAGTCAATAGATAGAGGAAAAGGACTGGGGAGTAGGCAGGGTAGTTTCTGTGGTGGTCATGGGCTGTCAAAAGCAGAGCCAGTGAGAGAGAAATAAGGAAACAAGCTCTTGGTGGTGAGACAATGGGGGGTTGCCCTCCTGTGCTTTTTCCCAGCCATGTCTGGGCCCCTGCAGCGTCTTTAGGCAAAGCTCTTTGTCACAGGTCCGCTGAGAGCGAGGTAAGTCCTGCTCTCCTCCAGACTCTGACTCCTGAGACTGGAACAACAAACCCAGATCAAAGAGAGGAGAGAAGCGGTGCGGGCAGGAGCCGAGGGAATGCGGCAGCGTTTTTGACTCCATTAGTTCCTGAGTAGCTCTTGCTCAGCGACACCCAACCCGGCAAGTAGGCCAAAGGGTCCCAGCGTCTCCAACTGCAGGCCCCACGTGGCCCCCGTCGGCGCCGCCTTGCTGGGGAGCTGCGAGCCTGTCACCGCGGGGCCTCCCTTGTGCCACCTGGTAGTGCCCGGGGCTGTTTCGCGACATCTGGAGGAGTCCATGCCTGTCACTGGTCGGTGAACGTCCTTCCTGACGAAGGAGCCGCTCCGCAGGGCAGATGTCTAAACAGCGCAGTGTCGAGGCTCCATTTCTTTGTGTTCATTTTCTATTTTTCCTTTGTCAGCTCTGCCTTTCCTCTTGTTTCCTTTTTTTTTGTATTCTGTGCCCCCACCTACCTCTCTGTGTCTCTCTCAGCTTCTGCCTTTGTGGCTGTTTGTCTTCCTCGCCCCGTCTTTCAGTCTCCGAGCCTCAGTTTCCTTTCTGTCTCTCTGTCCATGGGTGAACAGTGCTGCAGACACCCAGACACCTGCCTCTACCACAGGACGGCGCCTGGGCAGGGCAGGAAGGCCACTTGGAATGTGAGTGCTCAAAGTCCTGCCCTCTGACCTGTGACTGGGAAGGGCAAGGGAGCCAGGTGGCGGGACCTTCGCACCTCTGCTCAGAGGCAGCCTTTTGGCGGGTCCCTGATTTAGAGGATAAAGGAAGAGATAGGGTGTCCACAGTGCACTCCACTCCCACCAGATACAGCACAGTTTCTTTCCAGAAAGGAGCAGGTGCCTGCTGAGTCCGTGTTTACCTCACCGGGTCCATGAGCAGGCCTTCGTGGTCACAGCCAACTCTGTGCAAATCTGCACACCCAGACCTTGTTAAAATAATGTTTCTCTTCCTTTAGCCACTCCGTCTATTTTAGGGCCTTTCCCACCATTGCCTCTCTTTGTTCAGCCTAGCATAAAAAACATTCAGGTCTTGCCACTTCTCTGGGTCTTCATGTCCTTTTGAGGGCTCCTGTGTCACGTAAAACTTACATTAAATACACGTGTATGCTTTTCTGCCGTTAATCTGTCTTACATCAATTAATTCTCTGGCGCGGCCAAACACCCTAAGATGGCAAAGGTAAACTCTTGCCTTCTCTTCACCTGCTTGCCTTTCCTATCTGCAGGGGCAACTGTTTTTCACACACAGGCGCAGAGAGGGGGAGAGAGAGGTGGAGGATCAGGCCCCAGCGCGCTGAGGGTGAGGGCGAGGTCCCGGAGCTCTCCTTCCCTTGCAGGAGTAACGATGGGCGGATTCCTGGGCCTGCCCAGAGACTGGCCTCCTTGGCTCTGCCTACCGGCCAAGCCCCGGGAAGCTCTTGCTCTTGGCTGCTCTCTAATGGTCACCCAGAGTATTGCAGCCATGAAACTCTAAGCCCTGCGGAAGATGGGCCTCTCGAACTCGCCCTGGCCGTTATTAAATAAATGCTTTCTTCTCCCGCCGCCTCCTGCCCAGCGGGTCTGGGGCCTAGAGTCTTAATGCCTCGGAAGGCACGATGCACTGAGACTCAGAGCTCACCTGGGATGAGGAGGTGCTCGGTGGCATGGGAGAGCCTGTCTAAATCGGAAGCTCAAAGAGACAGTGACCGGAAGGCTTCCAGCTGGTTCTGCAGCAATTGCCCGGCGGATCCTGTCCGGGCTCAGCCCCCTCGGTGCACGTTACGGGGGCACTCGCACCTACAAGCCTGTCCCGGGGGTTGGGGGATTAGTGCCGTGACTCAAGCACAGCCCTGCCCCTAACTGTCCTGCGCTGAAAACCTGGAACATCTCTCCCCGCTGCTCCCGGCCCCCGGGGCCCTCTGCGCTCGGGCTAGGCCCACCCACCCGCGCGGTCCCGTTCCCCGTCAGCCCGCAGCTGCGGCCTGATTCCTTGTTTTCAAGCCCTCCTGCACGCTCAGGCTCCGCGTCTTTGCTCCCCTGCTGCTTCCCTCCGCTGTGGAAATACCTTCCAGATCACATGCGGGAGCCGCTTCCTCTGGACCGGTTCCCTGGTGCTCCCTGCTCATCCCTCCTGTCCCGCCCACCGCCTCGCCCGACCGCTGTGCAGCTGTGCGGTCCGCGCACCTGTTCGTGGAGGTGCGTCGGACTCGCCCCTCTCCCTATCGACGCTAAACCACGGAAGGCCTCCCTAAGCAGGAGTCTACCTCCTGTCACGACGGCCGGCCCCCTGGTGGCTCGCAAAGCGGAGCTGTCCCCACAATGGGGCGTCCCCACGAGCGGGGAGCGCGGCGCTGTGACAGTGTTTAGGAACGCCGCCCAGGCCTACCAGCAGCCGCCCTGTGTACTTCTCAGTTAAGGAACTGCACGTCCGCCCGGGAGTTCCCTCCCTCTGTCTCCCGCACTGCTGACTTCCCCGGCACCTCTAAGATCGGGAACCCTCTGGGCGCTGCGGTGTAAGGAGAGTCACCCAGGAACCAGTCACGGTGGATTTCTGGGAGGTGGAGGGGATAGGAGGACAATAGGAAATTCCACAGGTGTAGGATCTTGTACGTGGGAGACATAAGGGATCCAGGGTTGGTGATGGGACAGGGTCAGAGGCTCCAGAAGCTAGGACTGGCTCAGGACACAGGCTGAGCAGCTGTCCCTGAAGGCCTCAGGGCCTGTTTCTCAAGAGGACTGTGTTTGTTTGTTTTCACTTTTTGATGATTGTAACCTTTATTCTTAGTGCTAGTGCACGTGAGCTTGGGTGAGCCTGCGATGCTCATTCTTTTCATTCAACAACTATCTATGGAACAATGATGATGTTCCAGGCCCACAGCTCTGCTAAGAGATAGGAAACACCGTTACATTTACATTCAGTGTCATCCTGGGACCACTATGGGTTTCTTTTCAATTAAAAAATAAAATTGTGTACCTTAGATAAGACATCTGGAACTTGAAACAAAATAGGCAAATTCCTATCCTTCTTGGATGAAATCAGAAAAGTGGCAGAGGCATGAGGATATCTGAAGTAATCAAAGCAAAGCAAGTTAGAACCACAGTCTCTGGTTTGAAGAGCCAAGCCCTTGGTTGTTTCAGAGATGTAGGGGTCAAAATGAACAGGCCCAAGATGTACCACTCTGGCCTGCAGATTATTTTGAGCTGAAAACAACCATGGCCCAAAAGACTCAGGAAGAAACTTTGACCTTCCCCTTAACTGCCTAAAAGAATTTAGATAGAGGACCTGCTCCAGTAGGAGAGCTATCCCATAGATTATATGTAATACAATATCAACTAGGTAAGGTAGATTGGGAGGAACTTCCGCAAAGTCTGTTGAAATTCATCTCTGTGTCCCATTGTTTCTGGATGGCCCAGCAAACATTTGTTTACCAAATATTAACTCTTTCCATTCTTCCTGTGAATTGTTTTCCTTCTCTTTGAAGTCGCCAACCCCTGCCCCCTTCTCCTTACTTAGTTCAGGATGACATAGATGTGACATTTGGCATGACTGTCTTTGGAATCTCATGTGGGTTCTTGTATGTACAAAATTAAATTTGATTTTCTCTTAGTAATGTGTCTCATGTCAATTTGTTTCTTAGACCAGCCAGAAGAAACCTGAAGGGCAGAGAAAAATTTTTTCCTTTCCAAGAGAGATAACCAGGGGACACTCCGAAGAGTTGTTTCCCACCCCAGTCCTGAAGGGCACAGACCATTTGGCAGCTTCCAAAGGATGGCTTTGCCCTCTTAAGTGATTCTGGCTTCTCTGTCCTTTTGTTTTGAACTAACCAATGCCAGTTGTGAATTGTTGGGAGACACTGTACAAATTAAGGCAGGAAAAAAGTTGTTCATAAATGTGTAATGGGTGAAATGCAACCAGATCTCCTTGAAAAGACCTGTGTAGAAGTTATTCATATTTAATAAGTGCAGGTTTTTTTCATGCCTGGTCTGCTTTCTTGGGAGTCTGTGTCCTTGGACACTGAATCCACTCATTTCTTCCCATGGAACATATTCTTCCTCCAACCACTCTGGAACATTCTTTCTTTCTAGTCAGGACAATATCAGTTCTCCTCACAGGGTGTGACCTGCCTCACAGCTGTTGTGGTTCATTTTATTACAATATAAGGGGCCAAGGCATTCAGGGGGCCTGGTCATCATGAACTGCTTGTGTGTGCAACACTCTGCATGCCCCCGGCATTCCAGAAATGGAAACTTGGCATGCCAGGAACACCTCTCCTCTCTAATGAGGAAAGATTTCATTGTTCATTGTTCATTTATAACTCAGGCATGTGAAAGGAGTTTGGTATTCCTGAGGCATTTACAGTTTCATTTCTCCTCACCATTTCCTTGGGCCCTGGTGGAACAGGGTCAGTGGGTCTGACCCAGCCCCTTCACTGCCTTTATCTTTGATTTGTGAACAGCCTGCCTTGGACTTGACACCCAAATGCTGACCTAGGAGACCAGAGGCCACTCTCAAGCTGCTTCAGCACTCAATAATCTCAAACAGGGCCTCAGTGTGACCTGCGGGCTTTTAAGACTGATGATGAGTGTGTCTTCCATGTAGCAGGGCAGTCTTCTTTGAAGGAAGGAGGTCTGTGGAGGCCCCAGTGTTCAGAGGTGGGCCCCGCTCATCTAGCCCTGTACATTTGTACAGGGGCTTGTAGTTGGGGGTGCTCTGAGTACATTTCACTAAATGTTTCTTTTTGTTTTTTAGACTGTTCTGTGTTAGAACTACTTGTCCAAAACCAGGTAATACTTAAAGCACATTTATAACTTTCTTACTGAGGTTTGAGAAAAAGGTTTTGCCAAAACAAAGAGCTTGGAACCCAGGGTTTAAGCCAGATGAAGAGTTTCTAGTCATTAAGAATTGTCGATACTTAAAGAAACCATCCTTTCAAAAGACTTTGCATTCCTATGTTGTCTCCCTGCAAGCTCCAGGCACCACCTTGGTGCTTGTCCAGTGTCTTTTGAGGTAGAGAAGTGCGGTTTCTCTTCACAACGGTTGAGATTGCTGCCCAGATACTCTGTTTAGAAATGAGTAGAGCTCCACTGACCACTGAGGTAATTTCTCCTTACGACTAGCTCAAGGTTAGCTGGCGAGAGGGAAAACTACCCCTTCCCTTCTGACTGTCAATAGTCTGTCCTTTCTGATACTCCAGGACCTGGCTGTGTTCTGGGGCTGCCCAGTTGTATTCTAGGTCTGCCTTCTTCAAGCCCCCGTCCTGTTCCCCCTCCCTACCCCCGACCCCAAAACTGTACAGTCAGGGAACAAGAGCACCATGCCCAGTGACGCTTTACTCTCGGCTGCAGGGGCAGGTCTAATGGGAACAGGGCTAAGATGGGATAGCGAGCTGTTACTCTACTTAGACGTCAAACACTAACCATTTCACATTAGCTAGACCGTGAGCTAGAGTTTAGATACAAAGTTAAGTAAAAATAGCAGAAACGAGCAACAAGCACTTCACAGGTGCTCTGAAAATATACAAATCTGTCTAGCTGTTTACGGAGAATGTGGCTTTTAAAAGGAGCAGCTGATAAAGCAAACATCTATGTTACTGGAGAGGGGACCTGGGGAGAGCGTCCCTCACGGACACTCACTTATCTATGGGCAGGAGGGTATGTGTCTCCCTATTCCCCCTCTGATTTCTCCCATTTGCCCCCACATTACCTCACATTCCCCCTTCTTTCCATTTCCCCTCCCCAAAGCAGGCTATATCACCACAGCCGGGGACCAAAAGTAGAGGAGGAATGAGGAAGCCCAGTTATTTCGAGTGTCAGCACTAAAATGCTACTAACACACAAACACCTCCAGTTTTGAAACACAGAATCATGTTCCATAGCAGTTTGTCTGGAAGTAGCGGGACTGGTGAGATTGGAGGAGATTGTCTCAAAGGGACATATGGGCAGTCACTACTCTCTAAAGACAGGAATTTATGGTTCTAGACTTTTGATGGTTAAAATTAGTAAGTTTCAAATTGGATAGGCAGCATCCAGGGACAAAATTCTTTTGTTTTGTTGAGTGGTGATTGTAGAGAGGGAGGTTAATTGAGATCTCATCCCCCTGCCAAGCCTATACTCAGTGCCCACTTTTGTCTGAGAAACCCGAGCCATTTCTGGTTTTTGAACACTCATCTTGGGTTTCTCAACTGACCAGATTTGCCCCTGATAATTGCCCCCAGAAATCATCTTCTGTGATGTCTTTCTTGCAACCTTTGCCCTCAGTGGCTGAGCTGTTACCTTTTGGGGATGCTGAGCACTAATGGCTTGTTTATGAGGCTGGCCTCACTAAGCCAAGGAATCTTGCCAAATGTTGGAACAGAAACCTGGAGAAAAATGGAAAGAGATCATTTTGCAGAATTTATTGCATTTGAGAACTGCCATCAAAACAATGACCAAAGTAAGCTAATGGCAGCTATATAAAAGCCAGCACTTTACAAAACATTTTTATGATTTGAGCCTTTGAGTCCCCCGTAAAGTACCCAAGAGCAAATAGAGTTCTCTCCACTTAACAGATGAAGAAATCGAAGCTCAGACATTGTGATTTGCCAAGTCACACAGCAATAAGTTGATTCAGGTTTTCTGACTTTTGTGCCCACTGTATCTTGCGTTCTACTGTATCTATCCCTTTGCTTCTTTATTACTTCCATCTGTTTATGCATCTATGAAGTCAGCTGAATATTAGCAACCTCCTATTCGGTCTCAGTCTGTTTTCGGTCATAGGGCCCTCCACCCCAATTCCTTCTAGGCAGCAAAGAGGAAAGAACCACACTTTGAACCTACAGACAACTGGATGTTTATCTCCGTTGATCCACTTTCCAGCTGGTGGCTTTGGATGACTCACAACCTCTCTGAGCTTCAGTTCTGTCCTCTATGAAGATATCATCATTTTACAGGTCAATGTACAAGACAGAAGGCTCCAGGAGAGCAGGGATTTTTGTCTGTTCCAGTCACTATGGTACCAGGAGCCCCTAAAACAGTATTTGCAGGTACTCCCTGAATTGGTGTCCAGTGAACTCACGGATGCAGGGGAAGTCCCCAGTTGAGCGCCCGACTTAATAACAGAAGCTCAATAAAGTAGGCTTTATAATCTCTCTTTAACAGCCCAGCCTCTATCCCTGGCGTTCGGATGCCAAATCCCGTCTTTCTGTCGGGCATTTGCTTTTTCCTAGGCTCTGAGCCTGCGCCCTCCCTAGAGGAGCCGCGAGGGCCTCCGAGCCGCCGGGAGGGGGCAGCAGCGACCTCGCAGTCCCGCCGGCGGGGGAAGGGCGCTCCTGACGCGGAGAAGGGGGCGGACCCGGAAGTGCTCGGCCGCCGCCGCGACCCCGGCGCCCCGGATGGGGAAGGAGGCGGGCGACCGCTCTCCCCCAGCTGCGCAGCCTAAGGAACTGCGGGCAGGTGGGTTCCGAGCGGGAGACGGTGTTTCCGGGCCTCTTTCTTCTCGGCCATCTCCCGCAGGCCCAAGGCTGGTGAGGGGCGGTGAGGGGCGGCGGCGGGCGGGGGAGGCCCGGGAGGGTGAGTAGGGCGCCCCCGGGGACACCTGCCGGACCCCACGGAGCGGCGTTGCGCTCTTCGGCTCCGCGGACCCTCCAGCCCGGGCGGCGGCCGGGAGCTCCCTGGGTTGGGGTCCCTGCTGCAGTGAGGGGTCTCCCAGAGGGTCTCGCTTGTCCAGCAAAAGCTATCGTGGTCTCCATGGAAGAAATAAGGTCGGGCAGTAAGAATTTTCTTCGCAGTCTTGCTGGATGACCCCGGTATTTTTGACTCTTTAAGTTTTCATTGTGAAAAAGGAGAAAAGCTCGTGAGAGTTTCCCATGTAGAAGTAGAATGATAACCCTTTAAATGATGTTAAGCTCAGTTAACGGATTAAGAATCTTGAGTTTTTCTGAGTCCTTGGTTTTGGCCGAGTAAACCGTAGAGCTCATACCTTTTTGTATTGTACAGTTTACTGTGGTCTTTAGACTGGTACCTTTTTTTAAAATAATAGATGCCTTTGAGATCTCAATAAATAAAGGCTCTGGATGCTATCCCTAGAAATTTGCACTAATTGCAGCTACAAGGATACAGTGACAGGGAGGGTTTTTGGATGCTCTGAAGCCCATCCACAGACCTCAGGGATATGTGAACCCCTGAGTTAACTGGTTTAGAGGTAGACATGATGTGAGGCCCAGGCTTTGGGGTCAGGCTTTGGTTTGAATTTGGCGCCATTGTTTACCGCTGTTAATTTGGGCTAAAGTTACCTAAGCAATTTGAATCTCAGGTTTTTTTGTTTTTGTTTTTGTTTTTTTACTAATTAAAGTGGAGCTAATGTTAACTTGAAAGGTGGAGATTAAATGAAAGAAACTGTGCACTCAGCACGTAGTAGGTACTCAGTAATAGCTAACAGATGTCTTTTATTATCCGTGGGATTATAACTTAAAGTCTGAAATGAAATGTTAATGTTCCTAATTATAAAATGGCCACCACATATATTTTGCTCCAACTTTTTTTTTTTTAAAGATTTTATTTATTTATTTGACGGAGAGAGACACAGCGAGAGAGAGGGGGAACACAAGCAGGGGGAGCAGGACAGGGAGAAGCAGGCTTCCCACTGAGCAGGGAGCCCGATGTGGTGCTCGATCCCGGGACCCCGGGATCATGACCTGAGCTGAAGGCAGATGCTTAACGATTGAGCCACCCAGGCGCCTTTTGCTCCAACTTTTAATAAACTGAGTTGGTTTGATTTTAACTCGGTCCTTCCGTTGACCTTTCACAGCTTTCATATGTTCATAGTCTCTCTTTTTCTAGGAACTTGGCTGTATTGTCCTGCCTCAGAGAGCAAACTCATCTACTGCAGGCCTGGCCTGGGTTGCTGCCTTTGAAACTCGGAACAATACCAACCACAACACAGCACGGAATTTCTAGAGAGATCTTATTTCAAAACTTTATAAAGAATGAGAACCACATGGACTTGTGCAAGGGAAGTTGAACCGGCCTGCATTTGAGGGAGAGGATCATGTGTGCCCAACCTGGAACTGACACGAAGGAGGCCAAGTGGCAGAAGGTCTTGTATGAACGACAGCCCTTTCCTGATAACTATGTGGACCGGCGTTTCCTGGAAGAGCTCCGGAAAAACATCTATGCCCGGAAATACCAGTACTGGGCTGTGGTATTTGAGTCCAGCGTGGTGGTACAGCAGCTGTGCAGTGTCTGTGTTTTTGTCGTTATCTGGTGGTATATGGACGAGGGTCTTCTGGCCCCCCAATGGCTTTTTGGGACTGGCCTGGCTTCTTCACTGATTGGTTATGTTTTGTTCGATCTCATTGACGGAGGTGAAGGACGGAAGAAGAGTGGGAGGACCCGGTGGGCTGACCTGAAGAGCGCCCTCGTTTTCATTACTTTTACATACGGTTTTTCGCCAGTGCTGAAGACCCTGACGGAGTCTGTCAGCACCGATACCATCTATGCCATGTCGGTCTTTATGCTCTTAGGCCACCTCATTTTCTTTGACTATGGCGCCAATGCTGCCATTGTATCCAGCACGCTGTCCTTGAACATGGCCATCTTTGCTTCTGTCTGCCTCGCGTCACGCCTGCCCCGGTCCCTGCATGCCTTCATCATGGTGACGTTTGCCATCCAGATGTTTGCCCTGTGGCCTATGTTACAGAAGAAACTGAAGGCGTGTACTCCCCGCAGCTACGTGGGAGTCACACTGCTTTTTGCATTTTCAGCCTTGGGAGGCCTGCTGTCCATCAGTGCCGTGGGAGCCGTTCTTTTTGCCCTTCTGCTGGTTTCCATCTCTTGTCTCTGCCCTTTCTACCTCATTCGCCTGCAGCTTTTTAAAGAAAACATTCATGGGCCTTGGGATGAGGCCGAAATCAAAGAAGACTTGTCCAGGTTTCTCAGCTAAGTTAGAGACTTCCATTCTGTTATTAAGGCAAGCTGATAGACTATACTCCTAACTAGTATAAGATTTGAATCTTACAAGAATCCCATTCTGGAAGCAACGTACCAATGTGGGTCGGGTAACAGAGATCAAAAGAAAAAACTAACCAAAGGCGTGGGTGGTGAAGGTGCTTGCCCTTTCTGTTACTTTGTGGATGAAAAAGCTTCCTGGGGCCCTCTTGAATTCTTGCCTGTCATCCACTGTAACAAAGTGATGTGGTTTCTGTTTATTAAAAAAAATAACACATCCATTAAGTTGTCTCACGAGTTTTCTATAAGCAGAAGGCTGACAGAAGGGACGTGAAGAGTGAAGAGAGAATGAAAATATGTGTGTTTATGTGTAAAGTCACTTCGCTCTACCTTTATTTATCTAGAGCTCAAATGGGAGAATCCTGGATGCTGTGCTCTCTCATTGGCTAAGATCACAGAATTGGTCACTTCACCTTGACTCCCGAGTTTCTCCTTCGTTCGCAGTGAAGCATGGACACACTACAAGGGAGAGTGTGATGTTCGTAATACATAATCAGAATGCCAGGGCATTCAGAGAAGCTGAAGTAGTTAGGAACTATTTGCTAGAGGAGGTGGCATTTGAGCTTGGTCTTGGAGGTTAGGCGGGATTTAGGTAAAAGATGGTTTTAGGGCAAGGTGGCAAAGGCCTTTAGGAACCAGGTCAGTAATACGAACAAGTGAAGCCAGTAGACTTTGTGTGACAAATGGCAGCTGAAAGCTGGATGGAGCGTGCCCTGGCCAGCGAGGGCAGCCACCGCTCCAGCTGAGGGTTTCTAGGCAGAACGTAGGCCTGGCTGCAGATCTGGAGAAAGTTCTGAGTAAAATCCAAAATGAAATCTCAGTACTGCAAATGTGATTTTTCATGTGAAATCTGACTGGTAAATTCTGTCACATTTAAATCTGGACAGAAACCACACTTGGATGCACCGAGCCTGCCGTTGTGCCACATCTGTTGTTCGGGCGAGCACAGAGGTGAGGAAGTGTTTCATGGGGGTTCAGGGTTATGGGGATTGGAGGAAAAGTTGGAATGGGAGTTTTGAGTGACAGGAATTTGGGCTTTATACTGCGGGTCATTGGGAGCAATCCAGCTTATCTAAGCAGGGAGTAAATGATTAGATAATGGGCTGATTATGCAACTGCTCGGTGTCCTGTTTTTCATCTGTAAAGTGGGAATGGAAGTATTACCACGGGAGTTGTGATAACTGAGATCTGTGCAGAAAGCTCCGAAGAACCCTAGACACGTAGCACTACATTCATGTCAGCGGTTACTGTCACAAAGTTTATCTGTAGGAAGACTGGAAGAGGACAAAGTACAAAATGCATCTGGTGCCTCCCAGAGTAGTTGGTATCTCGTGAAATAACTCATTTGGGGCAAGTCCCTGAACCATCTCACTAGAGACTAGCCTCAAGTCAGAAATTTCATCAGAGGTAGTCGCCTTCCAAAGGAGTTCTGCTGTTTTTTCTCCGAACATAGATTTCTCAGTGTCTTGAACTAGTGTCCTCAGTACTGTCACATCACATCCTTCTTTTTCTGATTTGAATTTGGACTGATGAGTATAGTGTTTGGTTAGAATGGGTGGTTTTCCCTAAGGCACGTTGGATTTTTTTCGCAGCCCCAAGGACACTGGCTCAAGGGAAGAGACGGTCTTGGAAACTGACTTGAGCTCAAAGCGCCCGTCCGCTGCCTGTGCTGGCTGTGGTCTTCCCGTGCCTCGAGAGCAGCCAGAACTGGTGCCTAGCTGCTGCATGGTTCACATCAGGAATAGGGCCAGGTGTCAATGGCTGAAGCTAGGAAAGAACCGTATAAAATTGTGCTTTATTTCTTTCTATCCTAATACATTTGCCTTATTTGAATGGGTTTCTGATTATCAACTTTAGGGAACTCACGTAGCAGCTGCATCCATGTCGATGAGCAGTAAGTTCTCCAAATTTGATCCACTTTCAAGAGTAGTTTCAATGGGATGAATTAATGGGCCTGTGCTGTCATTTTCAACCGTTCTCCATCACACTGTATGTAGTATGCGGAGCCCCCCACGGCCTGATCCTCTTCAGGTTGATGGTTGTAGTTCAGTGTGGAGGTGGCCGGGCGGATGGGGAGTTGAGGGTTGGATGTGAGGGGATAGGGTGGGGCAGCCGACTCAATTCAGGTAGAAAGGTGGCAAAAAGGATATTCCAACTGGAGTGAACAGTACGTTCAAAGCGCGCAGGGAACGGATTCATCCTGGCAG